AAAGAAAACATATACATTATAAGAGTAATGTTAGATACACTAAATTTGCAAACTAAATGATGTATCATTAATAGGAAGTAAGTATGTTAATTAACACTTAAGTAATAATCTCATCATCCACTTTCACGTTATTTAGTTTACAAAATTTAACTCCTACATTTAGTCTCCTTAATATTATCCATATTCTACAACGATTTCTTTAGATTAAACAAACAAATTATGTTTCAATAATGGGAGAAGCAATCTTTTTCCCTATTTGTAAGCGGTGAGCAAGTTGGTGAAGCACTCTTTTTCCTCTCTTTTGGAGGTTTTTAATGAGATTTCCCTTTGCTCCCCCAAAACTCTTGTACTCTGTTTGTTTAACGGTATGCAAATTTCAGTTATGATAAAAAAATAATAATAATGGGAGAGAAGACAGGTCCTGAACATGACTGTTGTCCTGATGTAGTTTATGATCTGCATGTATGCAGTGGTCCTCAGTTCATCTAAAATGCCCTAGTAAGTGTATTTTGCTGGCAATTGACTATTAATCAATACTGGTATATTCTTTAGCAGTTCATTATTAATCAATACTGATATAATCCTTAATTTCATTACTTATACATACAAATGGGTGTGATATTTTATGCAAAAATATCGATGCTACTAGTGGTGGAATCATTCATAGTAAGTTACATTTTATCTATAAAACTTTGCGATGGGGGATTTTATATTCTTCAAGACTTCAACATATTTGTCATATTGTAAATTAAGGGTGGTAACTTTGTAACTCATTTGGTAACAAACTTATTGGCATGAAAGGAAGCTTATTGGAGCACGATACTTCAACAAGGGCTATGCTGCAGCTGCTGGTCCCCTCAACTCCTCCTTCGATTCGCCGCGTGACAACGATGGCCATGGCTCCCACACCTTGTCAACCGCTGGTGGCAATTTTGTAACCGGTGCGAGCGTGTTCGGCTTTGGAAATGGAACAGCAAAGGGTGGATCACCAAAAGCCAGGGTTGCAGCCTATAAGGTGTGCTGGTCTCCAGTGAATGGAAGTGAGTGCTTTCATGCAGATATATTGGCTGCATTTGATGTGGCCATCCATGACGGTGTTGATGTGTTGTCCGTTTCACTGGGTGGAGATCCTACTACATTCTTCAGTGACAGTGTTTCAATTGGTGCTTTTCATGCTGTTAAGCATGGCATTGTTGTGGTTTGCTCAGCGGGAAATTCTGGTCCGGCTGAAGGTACTGTCTTGAATATATCACCGTGGCAGATCACAGTCGGCGCCAGTACTATGGATAGGGAGTTTCCGAGTTATGTCACCCTCGGCAACTGGAAGCACCTCAAGGTTACTTAAAGTCCATTTCCCGACTAATGATTTTAACACTCCTCGTTTAGTCTTTGTACTTCACCTGTGAGCAGAAACAATAAATTATAAAATATTTAATTCGGAGTGGCAGATAGACAGAAAAGGAGTGCCAAAATCATTAGCCGTCCCTTTTTATCGTATACAAAATAAGACATGTTAGGGTGTTTTATGGGAACTTATGTTATATATCCTGCAAAGCTACTCAAATCCATAGTAACTTTTATCTACTTTGTTCTGAAGGGACAAAGCTTATCGTCTAGTGCCTTGCAGAGCAAGAAATTTTACCAACTTATTAGTGCTGCGGATGCCAAAGCAGCTAATGCATCAGCTAAAGAAGCGTAAGGATAGGCAACATCAATCTTCCGATTTTCATTATACTAAAATTATATTAAAGTTCTTAGTAATCTGCTTATATGATGCTGCAGTCTGCTATGCAAGGCCGGCACGCTTGATCCTAAAAAAGTGAAGGGAAAGATCTTGGCCTGCCTGCGAGGGGACAACGCAAGAGTGGACAAGGGTGAGCAAGCCTTACTGGCTGGCGCCGTGGGAATGATTCTTGCTAACAATGCTATTAACGGGAACGAAATTATTTCTGATCCACATGTCCTCCCTGCTTCACATATCAATTTCACCGACGGCATCCTTGTCTTTGCTTATATCAATTCAACTAAGTAAGATGGATGAAGTACCTCCAAATTGCCTGTTTTAAACTGCGTCTGTTTCATATGTTAGGGTGCTTCACTGCAGTGTCAGCAATATCAAGTTTTTGGTAAAATTACTAGTTGAGAAACTTGCATATTTTGACAGGTCTCCGCGGGCTTACATAAAGCGTGCAATAACGGAACTGGGAACAAAGCCATCTCCATTCATGGCAGCATTTTCATCAAAGGGACCCAACACCATTACACCAGGCATCCTTAAGGTTTTTTTATTAGCAAACACAATTTCTGTTCATTAAACAGACTCCACATATTTTTGCTGATTTCGTTAAGTATTCAGTAAATGTTGTTGTACATTAATTCAGCCTGATATCACTGCACCTGGAGTGAGTGTTATAGCAGCCTACACGAAAGCACAAGGGCCAACAAATCAAATGTTTGACAAACGGCGAATTCCATTCAACTCAGTGTCAGGCACTTCAATGTCATGTCCACATATTTCCGGCATTTGTGGCCTTCTTAAAACCCTCTATCCTCATTGGAGTCCTGCAGCCATTAAATCTGCAATCATGACCACCGGTAAGAAGTCCCTACGCACAGTCGTTTATGTATTCGCTTCACATTAACGTCTGTCAAGAGACCATTACTCGTCTTTCTGATATTTTCTTTCAAATCCTGTGTTACACAGCGATAACACGAGATAACAGCATGGAACCATTGCTCAATGCTTCTTTCTATGAGGCAACACCATTTAGTTACGGCGCAGGACATGTTAACCCAAACAGTGCTATGGATCCTGGATTGGTATACGATTTATCCCATAACGATTACTTGAACTTCCTGTGCGCAATGGGCTACAACGAAACAGAAATGGAAATGTTTTCAGAGGATACGTATGAGTGCCCCAAACCAGCTATTAGTCCCACTAACCTCAACTACCCCTCAATCACTGTCCCTAAACTCTCTGGATCCCTTGAGGTGACTAGAACAGTGAAAAATGTTGGCTCTCCAGGAACATATAAGGCGAATATCCAAAGCCCGGATGGGGTATCGATTTCTGTCGAGCCAAAGAAGTTGAAGTTCATGAAAATTGGTGAAGAGAAGAGCTTTAAGGTACTCCTGCAGGTTAAAGAAGCAAACCAAGCTAAAAACTATGTGTTTGGGAAGTTGATATGGTCAGATGGTAAACACTATGTGAGGAGTCCAATTGTAGTCAAAGCTTCCTAAGCTAGAAGTAGGCAAATTGCTTTAGCTTATTTTACTTCACCTCAATTTGTTCCACGTTCTTGTGCACTAAGCTAATGATTTACAAAAAATTATTTTCATGAAAATTAAGATCAACTGATCACTTATATATGACTACTAATGTTATTACTCATTTGAATTTCTGTTGAAAGGAATCAGTGTTTTAAAAAATGCGGCTCGGGGTGCGCCTAGCCGGCTTTGGAGGCGTGGCGTTGGTGGAAACGCCTCTGCCTAGTGGGAAGGCTTAAACTCACCTAAACATGGTCGAGTTGCGCTTAGGGGTTAAGGCTCGTTGAAGTTATAAACAGAGAAAATGAGGTTCTCTCTCCAACTCCCACCGGACAAAGTCAAAGACCAACCCTAACTTCTTCTTTTTTTTCTGTAATTGTTACCCATTCAGATTGCGCCACCTAGCATTTTAATTAACAAAGAGCAATAAATATGGAACATTGCAACATGCTGATTAATTAGTAACACTATGGGTTGGTATAACTATCAAATTAAACACTTCTCGTGAGGCGACACAACACATTTCATGGACAACAATGTAAGTGGAAAATCCACCCTTCGTCATGGTACCATCGACGTCGAGACGGTTGTAAGTGTAAACAAGTCCTTCACATTAAACTTAAAGGATGTCGTTACAATAATCACAACTTCTGCATGAATTAATATGAGTTCCAACTCCGACATGATCACCAACTTTGAATCCAAGAACATTATTCGGACCGACCTCGGCAATCTCATGTCTATAATTTGTACATTAAGCAGTAGTTAATTAAGAATTAATCATATGACAAAAATAAAATCATGAGTTAATGGATGAACATATATCCGTGCCCAGGCACTAGAGGGTAGGTGGCATCTCCATCTTTGTTCCTTGTCCAAACCACTTCAGCATAGCAAACTCCACGGTATGTTATTTTTGTGGAAAAATCACCACTCCCAAGAGTCCCAACAGCCCTAAATTCATTAACAAATTAACCTCTAATTAAGCATTACATTTAGCATGCAAATTGTTAATTAGTTGATATTAATCGAAATCGAGCCCATCCCAGGCAATCCTCCCCCTTATTTGCATTTTCTGAGCTCATTACTTGCATATATACTTGCAGCGGCTTGGGAGGAAGTAAAGATGATGATGCAAGGCGAGCATGACATATGACTGATCTTACATACCATCCCATTTACATGCACGAAACTTATGTCGTTGACTCACTTTTAAAACACTAGCTTTGATGGTAGTCATTTCTTTTTATTGAGACGACTCTCACTTATTTATTAGTATTTAGTGACTGGATCATATGCTGATATAAAATATCAATCATTTAGTCCAACTTATAAGTCATCATTTTTGTAGAACCTGGTTTTGTCGTGTGATGTGAAGTTGGATTTTGAAGGAATTTAATTCAAGTCACATAATAAGCCAGCAATAAAAATTAGATATTGAATTCACTATCTATATGAGTCAAAATTAAAACCGCACACTTGCAAGGGGAAATTATGCCATTAAATTATGTAGACTAATTATGAACATGAGATTCCTTCTATCGTTGGAAATTTGGAAGAAAGAATTACCACTAAATCAAGACAAATTAAAACAAAATGCTCGAGGGACAAAATTGCAATTATTCAAAAACTAGAAAAATGAAAATTCAAAACAGAAACGAATCAAACGACCCGTCGTAAATAAATAAAACATTTTTAAACCATTAAAATAATTTTCCCTCCATTCTCTCTCTCTCTCTCTCTCTCTCTCTCTCTCCCCCGCTCCACTGTCCAACAGGGACTGACACACACAGCGCACTACTCCGACCAAATTCAAACTGCAAACCCTAATTTTCCCAATCTCCCTCTCCGATTCCTCCATTTCCGATGGCCTCCAACGCCCCAGATGAGCCCTGCAACTCCGAGACCGAACCGGAACAATAGCCCTAAGAATCAAGGGGAAGCGCTCCCGCCGCGTGAGCACAGAGATCACCTCCGTCCACATCTTCAACAGCGACGAGGACTACGACATACCTCCCGACCCCAAGCCCAAGCCAGCTCTCAAAAAGACTTCGAACAGGCCGAGAACCCGGTGATAGGGTTTTTTAGGGACTTGGGCGGTGACAGCGACGATTTTAGGGATTCCGATGACGATGACGAAAACGACGACGGGAGAAAGTCGTTTTTCAGGCCAATTGGATCGCCCTCTCCTGGGAGTAGTGTTCCGTGCTCTGCTACCTCTAATGACGGTAAGCTATAAATTTGAGGAAAAATTAGTATCCGTCCCCTAGTTTTTACTGTTTATTGACTAACTTAAGTTCTCAAATTTTGATTCAAGTCCTTAGCATTAATGTGATAATGAATTTACATGTTTATTATATAATTTTTTTAATATAAAAATTAGTAATTAATTTAGGGTTTAATACTTACACCTTTATTAAACTTCTAATTAATTTTCAATTCAAACATTTCCAAAATAATAAAAAATTAAATTAAATTATGTACCTATTAGTTTTTTTTTATATATAAAAAGATTTTCAATTTTTTAATCTTAAATGTACCAATTCATATAATTTTTCAATTTTTTTAATCTTAAATGTATTCATTCTTCTCAAATATATCAATTTGTTATATGTAAAATGTACCATTTTTTAATATAAAATCCATTCAAATTTTTTAATCCATGTTTAAACTTATATGGGTACATTCTTTTTCGTTAATTTGAGAATGTATCCATGTTTTGGTACAATAACTTTTTTTGTTAATTTTGGTTAATGTACACACACAATATAATAGAGAGAATAATTTATATTTTATTATTTTTAATCCCATAAATTATGGGTTTTATTTAAAATCTCATTAATATAAACAATTAAAATTTTCAATTTTTAATTTTTAATTAAAAAAATATAGTAACTTACATTATTACATTAATATCAGGGATCTCAATCAAAAACTAAAAACTAACAAGGTTTCAATCAAAGAATATTGATAAATACGGACCGCATCCAAAGTGCCCCTAAATTTTATCTTATTTTTGATTAATTAGTAATTAATACACAATTAGGAAAGTAAAGGAAGATTCTTTATAGGATGTTAGTACTTAATGGCTTATGTAATTGGTGCTTTATATTACTGTACTTTAAATTACTCGAAAGGGATGCCGGTAATTGAATTTGTAACTGCATAGCTTATCTTGTTGTTTGTGTTAGGTAGTAATTTCGCTGAGTGTGTAAATTTCATATGTCTTAGTCGAAAATTATACCGCATTTTATGGTTTGTTTTTGCAACAGACAATTTTCAATGCATTACCATAGTCTTGCAAGGTCAGACTCCGGAGGAGATCTCAAGACCCCAACGGCGGTTCGCCTTGTCTTTGAAGAGAAGACACCAACCCATAATACCAATGTTACTGATTCTGGAAGCCTCATGTCTTTAACAAAACCGAAGATGGTTACCCTTCAGTCTTCTGTCCCTGCTGATAAGGTCAGAAGTGGGGAAGATTCAAATGACATGAGTATCATAGAAGAAAATCCACATAAGTATGATTATGGTAGATTATCTCCAATATTAGATGCACTTCTTGCAGCTGGCAGCAAGGATATGCATGCTGACTCAGTTGCCGTCCCTGCCACTTCAATGGCACCGAACGGGGGTGAGGTATCTGCATCAGATGAAAATGGGATTGGCCACATGAGAAATGGTAGAACTACTGAAATGGGCAATTTCGGCACCAATGACTTGTCTACTGAGGTAGAATCTGTTTCTCGTATCAAGTTGAGTGAGTCAAATGGTGGTTATCTTCATCAGACTGCTTACGATGCCTCATCTAACGGAAATCATAATTCAGCTGCTAGTGATTCTGGTGATGGCCAAATCCAGACCCAGAATCAATTAAACAATGTAAGAATGTCTCTTGCAATCAAGATTTTGATAGAACTGTTGCCGGTGTGGTTTGATCTCATACATTCGGTATTTTACATTAGTAGATTTGATGATGGACGTTTTAGTTGTTGTTCTGAGGGTGGTTGCATTGTTGTAAGCTCTTGAACCAAAAAGTTCTACCAGTGGCCCAGTGCATATGATTTTATGTATTTCAAAAATTAATTCCCTTAATGGCTCAAACATCTTATAGCTTTTGTTGTTTACTGAAATGGATTTTGTGGTTGTGGTAAACAGACACTGAAATTTTCAATGGTTGGGTTCTTTAATAAAATGGGATGTGAGAATGAAGGTAATGACAGTGGAAAATTAGGAACTTGGATATTTGGATATTGGATTGTACAACAGAAGCTGAAATTTTAGTTTTCAGTCTTCTGGTCGACCATGATAGTTTGGTCGAACACCTGGAGTAAATGGCCACGGCTTTGTTGGAGACTATTATGATAGTCTCATTGCCACAAATATTCGTCTAGCAGTCTAGTTATTACATTATGTACATTTTTAATTTTAACACATTATTTTGTGGTTGCATATCCAGAGTCAACTTGTTCCATACTGAAATACACAATTCGACGTTATTCCATTGGATCCAGATAAAAAAAAATGTCTTTTATTATGCTTGACAGTTAATGACTGGTCCTATTCTTGCCAACTGTTTAGTATGCATAATTGATGCAATATTTGTACTTGCATTCTAGTCGAAACTCCATCCTCAAAACAACCAGGTACCTTTTTAAGTGCAGAACACACAAAACATAATAAGTGGGTTTCATCAATTTAGAAAAGCATTTCTAGGTTCACGCTTCCTGAGCCTTCTCCCTGTGCTTCTATCGTCAACGATGGAATGGAAAAATTAAAATGTAGTTTATCAAGTTACTCATCTGTGAATTCTCCCTTAAAGAATGTTATGGCTGACATTGACAGAGATCTCCAATGCAAATTTTCCAATTCTCCTACTGCTTGTTTAGAGAAGCAAACAGCTATGCCTGATCTCAACGAAGGACAGAAAAGCTTATTTAACATGAATAGCAATGGAAATGAGAACTCAATCAACACCAGTATGTTGAGCCAGGTTAACGAGACCACAGACCGTGATAAAGTTGAAGAGCCTCAGCATAGCATGTTTACATACACTCCTTTGAAGGATGCGTATGGTACACGAAGAAACGCAGTGGTTTCACCCTCTCAGCTGTCATTATCAGGAAGCAAAATGACACAGCATCTCATGTCTCCCACAGAAGGAGCATTAATTTCTTCTGGGACTGATTCCCTATTGGCAGGTGAGCAAGAAGATAATCCTCCCCATCTGCAAATTGAATCTGAAAAGAACTTCCAATCACCTTCAAGAGGTGCAGTCATTCTGAACAGCCCAGATAAAAGCATTCAAGGTGGAGCAGAACCAATGCATTCTAAACCATATGTCTGCAGCAGCACAACTGAACCATACCTTCATGTCAGTCTCCATGTATTTGCTCAATTTTTAAAAGAACATGGATGCTGGGCCTATTTTTTATACCATACAACTTTGCTTCGCTTGTGCATTCCATGCCCTTTTTAAACACAGTTGGCTGGGTGTTGGGCTAATGTTTGCTCAAATTTGAAAACATCTTTATATACGGTTTCACATCCATTAGTTGGCTGCCGTTAAATACTAGGCTGTTCTATTTAGAAATATCATTACTTGTTCTGTTGTTGCTTAGGGATTTGACATTTTGTTCTGGAAATGGTCAATGCAGAGCCCTTCCAGTAAAGAGTCAGCTGAGAACCCCTCCATGAAAGGGCCAATTCAGAGTCCACCCCAGGAGAATCCAACTCTCAACTCTACCGGGAGAAAGGCAATTCAGAGTTCCCTCAGGAAAGCGCCAAGTCAGAGTCCCTGCAGGAAAGAATCAACTCTGAGTCCTCCCAGAAAAGAACTTACTCAGAGTCCTGGAAAAGAACCAATTCGAAGTCCCTTTGTGAAAGAGCTAACTCGAAGTCCAATCGTGAGAGACCCAATTCGAAGTCCTACTGTGAAAGAGCCAATTCGTAGTCCCTTCATAAAAGATATGAATCGGATTCCCTCAAGAAAAGAGTCAACAAATAGCCCCTCCAGACTGGATTTATCTTGTGCAGCAGACACTGAGAATGTGCAACCCTTTGCTGGGAAGGACCTAGTATATCATGAGTCCAATTCAAATAGTCATCCTAGTGATGGTTGTTATCAGGGACTGCATATTTCACAAAATCCGTTTACAGGGAAAGATTCAGAGAATTCTGTCGGACAGAAACGACAAAACCTAGGAATAATCTCTGAGGATGGATACTGTACAAATACGATCCCCAGAATCCAGAAAAGTCCAAAAGTTCCCAGAATTGAGAACTGCAATCCAGAGTTCATGCTGCATCAGTCAAATAAACGTTACGATGACAGACAGAAGTGTGGGGGTGATACAACATGGCAGTGCTGGACTGATTTGTGTACTATTTCTTGTTTTGTTTTAGTCCACTTGAATAGCCAGGTTCTCTGGCAGATATGCTATTTTCTTCAGATTTCCTTCTTGCAGATTTTAGTAAAATTCTCAGGAGATACAGAATCTCGATTGGCAAGCAAACTAAATTTAAGAGCGGTATATCCCTTTCTTTTATTATTACTTTCTCCCAAGAAAAATCTAATCTGGGTGATAGAATTAACCATCTTATGCTTAAGTTTGTTATGTGTCTCATGTTGGTTCACATTGCTGTTTTATCATGATCAAGTAGATTGGTGTGCTGGAAGATATGCTGGTCCACCTATTGAAGTCCAGTCTCACATATGCTGAATTAAATGATCAATCAGGGTCTGTTACGGACATGTTTACATAGTATAGTCGGACCACATTGCATTCTTTAAATCTATAGAGCATCTACACTATCAATTTTTATGCTAACACTGGTATTTAATGTGTACAGAAGTTCGACTGCCTCAATGTTGGGCATAAAAGGTGGTGTCTTTCATCATGCCTGTTATGATTATGTAGTTTAGATTCTTACGTGTCCAAGAATGCGGTTTAGCTTGATAAGCATTGACATTAACCTTTGCAGAGTAGCTGAAGCAAGACTGCTGCTTTATAAAATAGTGTATGAAAAGGCAAAATTGCATTTAATGCAAGTGAAGCGTGAAAAATGACAGGTTTGTATTTTAAAAAAAATAATTAATTAAGGTTGGCTCTCTTATGTTTTTCATCTCCGGATATGCATACAGTTTGTCACCTGGACTTATACTTGCCTGCAGAGTAGAGTACAGCTCTTAAGCTCTGCAATTCAGAAGTCTCAGATGCTGAAATTAAATTACATCCGTTGTCAGTCTGAACCTAGTGAATGGGAGACTCATGTTGATGATAATCATAGTCAATCCTCTTTAGTTAATTCTGAGGGTGAACAAGAGGTAATCATCAATTCTAAGATTGGTGATCCATTTACCATTGTCTTGTCCCTGCAATCGTAGCTTCAGTATTGTTCTTGCCATGTTATCTGTCTGGTCTTGCCAAATTATCTGTTCTGGTTTTCCTCTAATTTTTAACAAAAGGATTTTAAACACTTAAGAAAACTGTTACAAAGATTGTAAACTAGAGAAATCTATTGTAACTCCAAAGCAAGGTAAATGATTCTTTATTTATTTATTTTTAAATGCATGAGATTTTGTATTTGCGATAGAAATGTGATTTTATTTACTAGGCAGACCCTACTCTATTGGGAATATATTAATCAGGTTTCTGTTATAAACGCCCCAGAAGATTATATAAGATGAATACAGCATAAGAAAACAGTTCTTCTTCCTTTGCCTTTCTCAAACAACCAGTTCAGCTCATAGATATTACAAAAAATAATTATGTGAAGATAACCCAGTTTCAGGTCATGATTTTTGTTTATATATTCCTTTTTATTGCCAGGCTTCCTGTGATAATGTAAGCACAATGAGGCAGGAGCTTAAAGCTTTGGACAGAGATGTAAAAAGCTTAAGCAATTACTTTCACGCAAGTTGAAAGGAGAACCAGGTTGCGCTGATACTATATCTTTATTTCAACATCATCTCAAGACAAGAACATGTTTGCAGGATTATTTGTCATGATTTGCAGGTTATTTCTATTCATGATATGACTTTTCAGACACGAAACAAAATGTCTATTGTCACTAAGAGACCTGTGATTTCAACAGCTACGGAAAGTTGATCATTTTGAGATTAAGAATGGCCATTACAAAATTCTTCTCAGTTATCATGGTTACGTCTTGCAGAGGTTTTTTCTTCTTCTCTTTGGCTGTTCTTTTGGCTGAGTCATGTATTTTCTTTCTTATTACCAAATTCAAGCATGGCATGTGATTTCACGTTGATGAGACACAGGTTTACGGGTAATGTGGGCCCAACGTCAAACATAGTCATCTCACACGGTTTCAATTATATAAAAATCTCAAAGGTACTGAAGTCAATAAGTTGTTTATTTTGTTATTTCTTTTCTAAATGCTTAAATTTTTGTGAACTTTAACGAAAAATTCTCGGTACTGTTCACTTTAACGAAAAACCACATTTTTACACTAGAAAGTCAATCATGGTACTATTCATTTTACCATTTATTTTGTTTTAATCGTTAAAACTCAAAGTTTTCAAAATATTTTCATTAGTTTTTTTTTTAAATTTTTTGGACATCAGGAATTCCCAAACATGGATGTTCAGGTTGCATCTGGTTTTGTGCTAAATGCTTAGGCCACCAAGAAAAGTTCTGATTTGAGATGGAAGCTTCTGCTTTGACCCTCCAAATATATATTGCAGAAGCTTCTGCTTTGACGGTCAACAGAGCACATAGTATTATAAATTAGTAATTATGTCATAATATGCTTGTCTAATTTTAAATATTATATTACAAATTTATGTCATATCAGTCAGGCACTCATGCCTACAAATAATCGTGTAATGATTTGGCCGTTAAGGTGTATATGGAATCATTGACCTTGTGCCCTTCTTTGAAATATGAAAACTCCTCATTTTACTCAATATATCTAGATACATATTAAATTTACATTATCCAGTTAGGCTTAATACTATACGTCGTATACGACATCCACCAACCGCATTGCATATCCCAAATTGGCCGGCTTCTTTGATTATCAAGGAGATATGGAACACATACTTTTCATATGCATCAAGGGGAGATTGAAGACAGACTTTTAATCATGTTATGTGTTTGAATCAAGGGATTAAGTCTTTGATTAGATTTAGATTTGGAGAGAACTTCTAGAGAACCTTATGTACTGGGGTGGATTTGTATGTATTCATCGCACTCCTATCATGTAACATTTGTATCTAATCAGTTGAAGAATGTAACTTAAATATTAATTTGTTGGCAATGGTTCTTGTTTCTTCATCCGGGTTGGTGATGATATTAGTTTTGAATAATAATTTTTGAAGAACTAAAAAGAATTATAAATATACTTAGACTTTGAAAATGTGAGAATACGTATCAAATAATATTAATGGTGGAATGGAAATCGTTTCTCAATTAAAACAATTTCCAAAATGCAATATGACATAAAAACTCAATTAAATACAAATATTAAAGTAGGGGCCTTAATAATCGGGAGCATTTTTGCTCACCACCATTTAGTGTGGTGTATGCTTACCATCTTATTTATCACCGTTAGATGAGTTTCAATTTCGAGATTCGTGTAGTGGATAGGAACAAATGTTTTTTCCATGTTGCACTTGCCTACATGGCATAATAACTATTAGGGGCAGAAATATGTACCCTTTTGTCTCTATTTATCAATAGCAACGCCTTTTTTAGGTGCAAATTTAATATCCGCCCCTCCTTACTATTAAGTGCAGAAATCTTCATTTTTTGCCCCTATTTTTAACTAATAGATGCAAATGTTTTAGCCTCTACTTGTTCTAAGTTTTGTAGTGCCACTACAAGAAAAATGATTATTAGATGCGATCAACTAGGGGCAAATGGAAGAATTCGCCTCTATTAGATGCAGAATTATTATTTGCCCCTATTAGTTCTATTAGGGGCGTTTAAATCAGCCCTTAATATGGGAATAATTTCCAGCTATTAATTTTAATAACTAGTAGGGGAAACAACCGCCCCTATTGTCAATAAGATTTAATTATTTAATACCCTAATCCTAATCCCCACTATTACCTTATCAATCACCACTTTCTCTAACTGTTTATTTTTTGTTTTATTTTAATTTATATCGTTTAAATGTATCAACACCTAACCCTAGGTCAAATATGCATTATCTCTTCCTATATTAACTGTTCTTCTCTCCTGCACTGTTTATTCACTCTATCAAGTATAAATAGCATTCTTTCTTCTCCTTCTCTTAAATTTACATTATCCAGTTAGGCTAATACCATACCACATCGGGCATTGCATATCTCAAGTTGGCCAGCTTCTTTCTCCAACATATATTGGAAGTCTGAAAAAAAACCATAAAAACCAAAGTTTGTGTTCCACAAAAGGCAGGAAAACAAGGGTCAATGAGCCAGGCAATGAGTCCACCAACCGCAGCCCTTTACCTCCTCTCCTTCCTTCTCTCCTCTCTAGTACTCCATACCCCCACCTTTGCCATAAAAAAGGTAAGCATTCATTCTCGTCTCCCTCCATTAAAAACTGCAACAACAAAAAAGCAAAGTACCTTCCCTTGCATTTCACTAGTACTTGTGACGATTTTTTCTTTTTTTTTTTTTGGGTTCTTTCTACTGTTTCTGCAGTCATATGTGGTATACCTGGGATCACACTCACATCCCCCAAACTTGTCAGAACTTGAACTAAACCAAGTCACAGACAATCACCATGAGTTTCTTGGTTCCTTCTTGGGCAGGTACTTAAACACATATTTCCAACTAAAATACATAAACACCGTCTTTAGCCGATCAAATGTTTGAGCTTTTTCTGCAAAAATGCAGCCATGAAGTTGCAAAAGAATCCATGTTTTACTCATACACAAGGCACATCAATGGCTTTGCTGCTACACTAGAAGAAGAAGAGGCAGCTCAGATTGCTAGTGAGAATTTTATTTCTGCTATTTCTTTTTTTCCTAAGTTTTCTCTTTGTTTTTCTTTCTCCTCAGTTTTCTCTTTTCTTATGCTGCCATTGAAACACTGTAGAGCATCCAAAGGTAGTCTCAGTATTCTTGAACCAGGGAAGAAAATTACACACACTCGATCGTGGGATTTCTTGGGACTTGAGCAAGATGGTGTTGTTTCACCCAATTCAATCTGGAAGAAGGCAAGATACGGTGAAGATTCAATCATAGGAAACCTTGATACTGGTAGGTTTATCTTGTTCTTTGCTTTTTTTTTTAAATTTTAAAAACAAATTTCTTGCTGATTTATTTGACCAATTAGTTTCGTGCTGATATATTTGACCAATTTATTCTTCCACTAATACACGTACATGTATATGACAAAACATTTAGGGAGGCAACTCCTTCTAAAATTAATTATTAGCTAGTATTGTTAACTTTGCATGTGGTGACCGTGGTATCCGGTTTATTCAGTGTTTTAATTACTCATACGTTGTTGGTTCAAAACTTCTTTTTGGATGGGCTTAACCTTACAATGTACTAGCAATAATGTGGTTCATACTCGCCTTTGGCAAGAATCGAGCCTAAAATATCTCATTTCCAAGTGAAAAGGAATATCACTATAGCGTAGTATCGAATAGCAATATAATTCTTTTTTAAACAAAGCTTCTAAGGCTTCCCTCAAGACGGTTTAACTCTAATTATGGTCTTTTTGTAGTTTTGGTCTTTTGGACCACCATTAGTATAATTTTAACAACTTGTGCAATTGTATTTATTTTCACTCATAGACAATGATTTGGATATCAATTTATTTTCGCATTAATATAATTATGGTCATTTTTTGTAAACATATTGTTGTATAACAACTAGCTAATTCTTAGCATTTGCCTAGCTCCCTCTTAATTTATTAACGCATCGTTTTTCACAATTAAGTACCCAAAAACCCCTATATATAGGAGAAATTTTTCGGTGTGTCCAAAATACGAGACAGTACAACACATGTCATCATACAATTGAAATGTAGTTTTTTTTATTTATTTTAAGTGTCTCTTCGATTGTATAATAACATATCGTATCGCTCCGTATTCCGAGCTCACTGAAAAATCTTCCCATATATAATCAGAGACTTTCAAATTTCTCATTTGAAGAGGGAAAAAAAACCCCTAGACTTGCACTCGACTGTCCTTATTGCAATATTGGTACCTTTTTTTAGCTGGATTTTAAAAATATTTCACACAAAAAAAGAGTTTCGATTGTTTTGTAAGGAGCATTGGTAACCCTAGTGTTCTTGAATGGGGTTGTAGGCGCATGGCCAGAATCCAAGAGCTTTAGTGATGAAGGGTATGGACCGATTCCATCCAAGTGGAAAGGAATCTGCCAAAATGAGATAGATTCTGAATTTCACTGCAACAGGTACCCACTATTTTATGATTATTTTCTAATTGAGATTAGTTTACTTTCTGTTTCCTTTTCTACAACATTAAGAATCAAATGTTAAAAAAGTATCTTGGTATAAGTTAAACAAAATACGCTCGTTGATACATATGTGAGTTAGGCACTGTAGTGTGTCAATGTCTCTTGCGTTCGAGTTTAAATTCATATCTCTTAAATTAAAGTAATTTAGAATATCGCTTTATAAAAATTAAAATAAATATATATTTATTGTTAAAACGCGAGTGTTAAAATTGGAAAAGAAAAAAAAAAAAAAAGAGATATTCTTCTTTGTTCTGTGTAATCAGTCCCAGTTTATCTTAAACTTGGATGGTCCAATCCAACCAAGGTTATCCCCTTTTGTAGCGGAGCAAATGGCATCTATAAAGCAGGATTCGTACGAGACTTTCTCATAAAGTTGCGGCCATTCTTATTCTAGAAACCTAGAACTGCAAATAAATTGAGATGCATGTAATAAGATTATAATTTGATTCATTTTTTGTTAATTATTTTCATATTTGAAAACTACATCTAAATTTCTAATCAATTATCTTATTTAAAAGTTTACAAAATCCCGCACTAGCATGTGGTCTAGAGGAGGTCTTTGATGGTTAGCTCAATTAAGATGATGTAGTTTTATTGTGGCATAGTGGATTACAAAAATATTTGTGAATATTATATTATTGGTAGTAGGAAAACGGATAGTGTTATTCACAATTTTTTTTAAGGTTAATCTCAGTTTACTATCCTGAAGTTTCGTGGTTTTCAACATTTGGTACATGAAATTTTTTTCATCTCAGAGTCATACCTCAAGTCTTATTTTTGGAACAGTCTCATACATCCGTTAAGTTGGATGTGAATATTATATTAGTGGTAGTAGGAAAACGAGTAGTGTTATCTTTAACACATCTTTGTTAGTTTTGTTTATTAATCTTCTTGAATTTATTCGATCCACCAAAAAATAAGAGGTGTGTACTCTTTCCTCATCGGCAATCCCAATTACTTGCTGAGACAAGCTCTCCTATTTCTGCACTGCTTCCGGTTGATGGCTATTATGCCTCTTCCTGCTCTTTTGACTTGGGTAAGACCACTGATACCTTCCCAAATGAACTTGCTTAATATTTGAAAAAGACATATTCTATAGGACAATAAATTAACCAAGCTATTGTAGTCAAATACTTCATCAAAAATCCAACTTCTAGTCACTATTCTATTACACTTTCACTGCTTGTAGTCCAAAGAAAGACGGTAAAAGAAAACATATACATTATAAGAGTAATGTTAGATAGACTAAATTCGCAAACTAAATTATGTATCATCAATAAGAAATAAGCACGTTAATTAACACTTAAGTAATAATCTCATTATCAACTTTCACATCATTTAGTTTATAAAATTTAGCCCCTACATTTAGTCTCCCTAACATTGTCCATACTATACAACGATTTCTTTAGATTAAGCAAACAAATTATGTTTTAATAATGGGAGAAGCACTCTTTGTCCCTAATTGTAATTAAGTGGTGAGCAAGTTGGTGAAGCACTCTTTTTCCCTCTTCTTTGGAGCTTTTTAATGAGGCTTCCCTTTGCTCCTCCAAAACTCTTGTGCTCTGTTTGTTTAACCGTAATGGAAATTTCAGTTATGATAAAAAAAAAATAATGGGAGAGAAGACAGGTCCAGAACATGACCGTTGTCTTGATGTAGTTTATGATCTGCATGTATGCAGTAGTCCTCAGTTCATCTAAAATGCCCTAACAAATGTATTTTGCTAGCAGTTCACTATTAATCAATACTGGTATAATCTTTAATTTAATTACATATACATACAAACGGGTGTGATATTTTATACAAAAAGTCTCGATGCTATTAGTAGTAGAATCACCCATTGTAAGTTGCATTTTATCTATAAAACTTTGTGACGAGGGATTTTATATTCTTCAAAATATGTGTCATATTGTAAATTAAGGTTTTTGATTTGTTATATAGTGGTAACTTTGTAACTCATTTGGTAACAAACTTTTTGGCATGAAAGGAAGCTTATTGGAGCACGATACTTCAACAAGGGCTATGCTGCAGCTGCTGGTCCCCTCAACTCCTCTTTCAATTCGCCGCGTGACGACGATGGCCATGGCTCCCACACCTTGTCAACCGCTGGGGGCAATTTTGTAACCGGTGCGAGCGTGTTCGGCTTTGGAAATGGAACAGCAAAGGGTGGATCACCAAAAGCCAGGGTTGCAGCCTATAAGGTGTGCTGGCCTCCAGTGGATGGAACTAAGTGTTTTCATGCAGATATATTGGCTGCATTTGATGCGGCCATCGATGACGGTGTTGATGTGTTGTCCGTTTCACTGGGTGGAGATCCTACTACATTCTTCAGTGACAGTGTTTCAATTGGTGCTTTTCATGCTGTTAAGCATGGCATTGTTGTGGTTTGCTCAGCGGGGAATTCTGGTCCGGCTGAAGGTACTGTCTCGAATATATCACCGTGGCAGATCACAGTCGGCGCCAGTACTATGGATAGGGAGTTTCCGAGTTATGTCACCCTCGGCAACTGGAAGCACCTCAAGGTTGGTTATAGTCCATTTCCCGACTAATGATTTTAACACTCCTCGTTTAGTCTTTGTACTTCACCTGTGAGTGCAGAAACAATAAATTATAAAATATTCAATTCGGAGTGCAGATGGACAGAAGACGAGTGCCAAAATCGTTAGCCGTCCCTTTTTATCGTATACATAATAAGACATGTTAGGGTGTCTTATGGGAACTTATGTTATATATCCTGCAAAGCTACTCAAATCCATATTAAGTTTAATCTACTTTGTTCTGAAGGGACAAAGCTTGTCGTCTGTTGCCTTGCGGGGCAAGAAATTTTACCAACTTATTAGTGCTGCGGATGCTAAAGCAGCTAATGCATCAGCTAAAGAAGCGTAAGGATAGGCAACATCAATCTTCCGATTTTCATTATACTAAAATTATATTCAAGTTCTTAGTAATCTGCTTATATGATGCTGCAGTCTGCTATGCAAGGCCGGCACGCTGGATCCTAAAAAAGTGAAGGGAAAGATCTTGGCCTGCCTGCGAGGGGACAACGCAAAAGTAGACAAGGGTGAGCAAGCCTTACTGGCTGGCGCCGTGGGAATGATTCTTGCTAACAATGCTCTTAACGGGAATGAAATTATTTCTGATCCACATGTCCTCCCTGCTTCACATATCAATTTCACGGACGGCATCCTTGTCTTTGCTTATATCAATTCAACTAAGTAAGATGGGTGAAGTACCCTCCAAATTGCCTGTTTTAGACTGCGTCTGTTTCATATGTTAGGGTGCTTCACCGCAGTGTCAGCAATATCAAGTTTTTGGTAAAATTACTAGTTGAGAAACTTGCATATCTTGACAGGTCTCCGCGGGCTTACATAAAGCGTGCAATAACAGAACTGGGAACAAAGCCCTCTCCATTCATGGCACCATTTTCATCAAAGGGACCCAACACCATTACAGGCATCCTTAAGGTTTTTTTATTAGCAAACACAATTTCTGGTCATTAAACAAACTCCACATATTTTTGCTGATTTGGCCAAGTATTCAGTAAGTGTTGTTGTACATTAATTCAGCCAGATATCACTGCGCCTGGAGTGAGTGTCATAGCAGCCTACACGAAAGCACGAGGGCCAACAAATCAAATGTTTGACCAACGGCGAATTCCATTCAACTCAGCGTCAGGCACATCAATGTCGTGTCCACATATTTCCGGCATTTGTGGCCTTCTTAAAACCCTCTATCCTCATTGGAGTCCTGCAGCCATTAAATCTGCAATCATGACCACCGGTAAGAAGTCCCTACGCACGGTCATTTATGTATTCGCTCCACATTAACGTCTGTCTCAAGAGACCATTACTCGTCTTTCTGATATTTTCTTTCAAATCTTGTGTTACACAGCGATAACACGAGATAACAGCATGGGACCATTGCTCAATGCTTCTTTCTATGAGGCAACACCATTTAGTTACGGTGCAGGACATGTTGACCCAAACAGTGCTATGGATCCTGGATTGGTATATGATTTATCCCTTAACGATTACTTGAACTTCCTGTGCGCAATGGGCTACAACGAAACAGAAATGGAAATGTTTTCAGAGGATACGTATGAGTGCCCCAAACCAGCTATTAGTCCCACTAACCTCAACTACCCCTCAATCACTATCCCTAAACTCTCTGGATCCCTTGAGGTGACTAGAACAGTGAAAAATGTTGGCTCCCCAGGAACATATAAGGCGTATATCCAAAGCCCGGATGGGGTATCGGTTTCTGTTGAGCCAAAGAAGTTGAAGTTCAAGAAGATTGGTGAAGAGAAGAGCTTTAAGGTACTCCTGCAGGTTAAAGAAGCAAAACAAGCTAAAAACTATGTGTTTGGGAAGTTGATACGGTCAGATGGTAAACACTAAGTGAGGAGTCCAATTGTAGTCAAGGCTTCCTAAGCTAGAAGTAGGCAAATTGTTTCAGCTTATTTGACTTCACCTCAATTTGTTCCACTTTCTTGTGCACTAAGCTAATGATTTACAATAAGTTATTTTCTATGTAAATTAAGATCAACTGATCACTTATATATGACTACTAATGTTATTACTCATTTGAATTTTTGTTTAACGGAATCAGTGTTTTAAAAAACACGGCTCGCGGTGCTCCTAGCCGGCTTTGGAGGTGGGGCGTTGGTGGAAATGCCTCTGCCCAATGGGAGAAGGCTTAAACTTGCCTAAACGTGGTCAAGGTGCGCCTAAGGGCTAAGGCACACCGAAGTTCTAAACAAAAAAAATGAGTTTCTCTCTCCAACTCCCACTGGACAAAGTCAAAGACCAACTCTAACTATTTTCTAATTTTTTTTGTAATTGTTACCCATTCAGACTACACCACCTAGCATTTTAATTAACAAAGAGTAATAAATATGGAACATTGCAACATGCTGATTAATTAGTAACACGATTAGTTGGTAATAGTATAACTATCAAATTAAACAACTTCTCATGAGGTGACACAACACATTTCATGGACAACGATGTAAGTGGAAAATCCACCCTTCGTCATGGTACCATCGATGTCGAGACGGTTGTAAGTATAAACAACTCCTTCACATTAAACTTAAAGAACGTCATTACAATAATCACAACTTCTGCATGAATTAATAAGAGTTCCAACTCCGACATGATCACCAACTTTGAATCCGAGAACATTATTCGGACCATCGGCAATCTCATGTCTGTAATTTGTACATTAATCAATAGTTAATTAAGAACTAATCATATGATAAAATAAAATAGTGAGTTAATGGATGAACATATATACGTACCAAGGCACTAAGGGCTGGTTTGGTATTGCTGTGCTTTGAAAAAAAAACTGCTTCTGCTGTGCTGTGAAATAAAACAGCAGAGTGTTTGGTAAACTTTTTTGCAAAAATGCTTTTGGAAAAAAAAAATGCAGTATTATAGTGTTTGGTAAACTTTTATGTAAAACAATTGTAACTGTGTGAAATGACCAAAAATGGTATAATACTAGATGTGCCATTAATTTAATTTTCTTAACAAATAAAGGTGAATTACTAAATATACTTTATTTTTAAAAGAAAAATATTTATAAACTTTATCTTAAATATATAATCTAACGTTTAACAAAAAATCATAATCCTACATTTATAATATCTATTTACTATACAACTATTACTCTTTATCATAAGCATCTCCAACACTAATGGTTATTTTATAAAAAAATTTAAACTAGTTTATTATTTAAAATCTCTATCTTTTTATGTTTTATTATCATAATTAAAATCAGTCCACATTTTTCTAGAAGCATCTCCCAAACTCTCTTTCTCTCACATGGCTCTTTTTCTTTCCCATTCTCATCCTTTCCGCCGCTCCAACCCATTTCACATTTTCTTTCTTAATCTTCCTCTCTCCATGCGATATCTTTCTTTCTCAATTGAAATCCTAAAGAAAAATTTCCTCTGTGCTGGATGGTTCGTTGGCAGGTCAGATCGCACATTCAAAAACTAGGTCGATAATGGAGGAGGGGTCTGGGATAGCTTTGCTTGGTCCAAAAGCTCAAGGTCCACAGCTCCAAGGTCTTGTAGTATGGCCTCACGATCTTGAACGACCTCAATAAAATATCTAGTCTCGGCATGGAAGGTGAGTGTTCGAGCTTCGAATTGTTGGTAATTTCATATGGGATTTTGTTAGTTCAACTGGATTGTTGGTAATTCCATCTTGTGTGATAGTAAATTATGTAATTGCTTAATGTCATTTTGGGTACATGAAAGTTTCATTAAGCGCTCAGCGCCTCTTAGAAAAGAGGTTTGCGCATAAGCTGAAAAGCCGGTTTTTCAAAGCTGCATTTTACTGCTTCTGTTTTTTGGTTTCTTTTTTCACTCAAAACTGTGAAAAAAAACAAACGTTGAAAGTTTACCAAACACAAAAAAGTTCCCAATTTTTTTTTATACCCACTTTTTTAAAATCATCCTAATACCAAACCAAGGCTAAAGGGTAGGTGGCATCTCCATCTTTGTTCCTTGTCCAAACCACTTCAGCATAGCAAACTCCACAGTATGTCATTTTTATAGAAAAATCACCACTCCCAAGAGTCCCAACATCCCTAGATTCATTAACAAATTAATCGCTAATTAAGCACTACATTTAGGATACAAATTGTTAATTAGTTGATATTAATCGAAATCGAGCCCATCCCAGGCAATCCTCCCCCTTCTTGCATTTTCTGAGCTCATAACTTGCATATATACTTGCAGCGGCTTGGGAGGAAGTAACGATGATTGCAAGGCGAGCATGATATATGACTGATCTTACATACCATATCATTTATATAGCACGAAACTTATGTCGTTGACTCACTTTTAGAACACTGGTTTTGATGGTAATCATTTCTTTCTATTGAGGTGGCTCTTACTTATTTATTAGTATCTAGTGACTCGATCATATGTTGATGTGTAGTACCATTCACTTAGTCCAACTTGTAAGTCATCATTTTTGTAGAGCCTGGTTTAATTGTGTGATGCAAAATTGAGTTTTAGAAGAATTTAACTCAAGTTTCATAATGGATCAGAAATAATAATTAGATATTAAACTCATTATCTATATGAGTCAAAATTAAAACCGCACACTTGCAAGTGGAAAATTATGTAAACTAATTATGAACATGAGATTCCTTCTATCGTTGGAAATTTGGAAGGAAGAATTACAAAAAGCTTTCGAGGGACAAAATTGCAATTATACAAAAACTAGAACAGTGAAAATTCAAAACAAAAAACGAGTCAAATGACTCATAGTAAATAAATAAAACATTTTTAAATAAAAATAAAAATATTTTGAAAATTTTGAATTTTAATTATAAAGATAAAATAAAAGATAAAATTAATAGTATTAAAATTAATTTTTTATTAAAAAAATAAATTTTCATTAAAGTAAACCATTTTCGTTAAATTACCCTATTTTTAAACCATTAAAATAATTTTCCCTCCATTCTCTCTCTCTCCCGCTCCACAGTCCCACAGTGACTGACTGACACACAGCGCACTACTCCGTCCAAATTCAAACTGCAAACCCTAATTTCCCCACTCTCCCTCTCCCATTCCTCCATTTCCGATGGCCTCCAACACCCCCGATGAGCCCTGCTACTCCGAGACCGAACCGGAAACAATAGCCCTAAGAATCAAGGAGAAGCGCTCCCGCCGCGTGAGCTTCGCCGACACCGAGATCACATCCGTCCACATCTTCAACCGCGACGAGGACTACGACACACCTCCGGACCCCAAGCCCCAATCCAGCTCTCAAAAAGACTTCGAACATGCCGAGAACCCGGTGATAGGGTTTTTTAGGGACTTGGGCGGTGACAGCGACGATTTTAGGGATTCCGATAACGATGACAAAAACGACGACGGGAGAAAGTCGTTTTTCAGGCCAATTGGATCGCCCTCTCCTGGGAGTAGTGTTCCGGGCTCTGCTACCTCTAATGATGGTAAGCTATAAATTTTATCTTATTTTTTGATTAATTAGTAATTAATACACAATTAGGAAAGTAAAGGAAGATTCTTTAGAGGATGTTAGTACTTAATGGCTTATGTAATTGGTGCTTCAAATTTCCTGCTTACATTATACTGTACTTTAAATAACTCGAAAAGGATGCCGGTAATTGAATTTGTAACTGCATAGGTTATCTTGTTGTTTGTGTTATGTAGTAATTTCGCTGAGTGTCTAAATTTCATATGTCTTAGTCGAAAATTATACCACATTTTATGGTTTGTTTTTGTAGAAGACAATTTCTTTGGCCCTGTATCGGCCAATTTCATTAGACCAGGACGGTTATCTGATTCCGCGGCCTCAGATGACATTCATGAAGCTACATTGGATACTACAGCATTTTCAATGCATTACCATAGTCTTGCAAGGTCAGACTCCGGAGGAGATCTCAAGACCCCAACGGCGGTTCGCCTTGCCTTTGAAGAGAAGACACCAAACCATAATACCAATGTTACTGATTCTGGAAGCCTCATGTCTTTAACAAAACCGAAGATGGTTACCCTTCAGTCTTCTGTCCCTGCTGATAAGGTCAGAAGTGGGGAAGATTCAAATGACATGAGTATCATAGAAGAAAATCCACATAAGTATGATTATGGTAGATTATCTCCAATATTAGATGCACTTCTTGCAGCGGGCAGCAAGGATATGCATGCTGACTCAGTTTCTGTCCTAGCCACTTCAATGCCACCAAATGGGGGTGAGGTGTCTGCATCAGATGAAAATGGGATTGGCCACATGAGAAATGGTAGAACTACTGAAATGGGCAATTTCAGCACCAATGACTTGTCTACTGAGGTAGAATCTGTTTCTCGTATCAAGTTGAGTGAGTCAAATGGTGGTTATCTTCAGCAGATTGCTTACGATACCTCATCTAACGGAAATCATAATTCAGCTGCTGGTGATTCTGGTGATGGCCAAATCCAGACCCAGAATCAATTAAACATTGTAAGAATGTCTCCTGCAATCAAGATTTTGATAGAACTGTTGCCGGTGTGGTTTGATCTCATACATTCTGTATTTTATATTAGTAGATTTGATGATGGATGTTTTAGTTGTTGTTCTGAGGGTGGTTGCATTGTTGTAAGCTGTTGAACCAAAAAGTTCTGCCAGTGACCCAGTGCATATGATTTTATGTATTTCAAAAATGAATTCTCTTAATGGCTCAAAGATCTTATAGCTTTTGTTGTTTACTGAAATGGATTTTGTGGTTGTGGTAAACAGACACTGAAAATTTCTATGGTTGGGTTCTTTAATAAAATGGGATGTGAGAATGAAGGTAATGACAGTGGAAAATTAGGAACTTGGATATTTGGATATTGGATTGTAAAACAGAAGCTGAAATTTTAGTTTTCAGTCTTCTGGTCGACCATGATAGTTTGGTCGAATACCTGAAGTAAATGGCCACGGCTTTGTTGGAGACTATTATGATAGTCTCATTGCCACAAATATTCGTCTAGTAGTCTAGTTATTACATTTGTACATTTTTAATTTTAACACATTATTTTGTGGTTATCCATAGTCAACTTGTTCCATACTGAAATACACAATTCAACGTTATTCCACTGGATCCAGATCAAAAAAACGTCTTTTATTATGCTTGACAGTTAATGACTGGTCCTATTCTTGCCAACTGTTTAGTATGCATAATTGATGCAATATTTGTGCTTGCATTCTAGTTGAAACTTGAAATATTTATTCTCTTAAGTACATGTTTATGTAACTGCACCAATGAATAAACCGTAAGGTGCTTAATAAATTAATCGTGAGTTTTTTCTTATCGGTGAACTGATGCACAGGTTTTCTTGCAGGTGAATAAGGAATTTAGTCCTGAAGATGCATCTCCAAGGGGTATGAAAAAATTGGAGTTAACTGCTGTTAATGGCAATGGCCTACCAAAAGTCAATAGTGAAGCACTTCAGTTTGATGTGTTTGTCCAGCATGGACCTGCTTATCAACATTCGAGTCAAGGCTTGGTACAAGAACATTCTCTTAAGGAGAAAATATATAATGATAATAGCGATCAACATTTGGACCAACATTATAGATCACCGATGGAGGGGTCCATATTCTTGTTATCGAATACTCCTAATTTGGAAAGACACTCAGGGATAGTGACTCCATCCTCAAAACAACCAGGTTCCTTTTTAAGTGCGGAACACACAAAACATAATGAGTGGGTTTCATCAATTCAGAAAAGCATTTCTAGGTTCACGCTTCCTGAGCCTTCTCCCTGTGCTTCTATCGTCAACGATGGAATTCAAAAATTAAAATGTAGATTATCAAGTTACTCATCTGTGAATTCTCCCTTAACAAATGCTATGGCTGACATTGACAGAGATCTCCAATGCAAATTTTCCAATTCTCCTACTGCTTGTTTAGAGAAGCAAACAGCTATGCCTGATCTCAACAGAGGACAGAAAAGCTTATTTAACATGAATAGCAATGGAAATGAGAACTCAATAAACACCAGTATGTTGAGCCAGGTTAACGAGACCGTAGACCTTGATAAAGTTGAAGAGCCTCAGCATAGCATGTTTACATACACTCCTTTGAAGGATGCATACAGTACACCAAGAAGGGCGGTGGTTTCACCCTCTCAGCTGTCATTATCAGGAAGCAAAATGACACAGCATCTCATGTCAGAAACTCCCACAGAAGAAGCATTAATTTCTTCTGGGACTGATTCCTTATTGGCAGGTGAGCAAGAAGATAATCCTCCCCATCTGCAAATTGAATCTGAAAAGAACTTCCAATCACCTTCAAGAGGTGCAGTCATTTTGAACAGCCCAGATAAAAGCATTCAAGGTGGAGCAGAACCAATGCATTCTAAACCATATGTCTGCAGCAGCACAACTGAACCATACCTTCAGGTCAGTCTCCGTATATTTGCTCAATTTTTAAAGAACATGGATGTTGGGCCTATGTTTTATACCACACAACTTTGCTTCGCTTGTGCATTCCATGCCCTTTTTAAACACAGTAGACTAGGTGTTGGGCTAATGTTTGCTCAAATTTGAAAACATCTTTATATACAGTTTCCCATCCATTAGTTGGCTGCAGTTAAATAATAGGCTGTTCTATTTAGAAATATCATTACTTGTTCTGTTGTTGCTTAGGGATTTGACATTTTGTTCGGGAAATGGTCAATGCAGAGTCCTTCCGGTAAAGTGTCAGCTGAGAACCCCTCCATGAAAGGGCCAATTCAGAGTCCACCCCAGGAGAATCCAACCCTCAATTCTACTGGGAGAATGGCAATTCAGAGTTCCCTCAGGAAAGCGCCAAATCAGAGTCCCCGCAGGAAAGAATCAACTCTGAGTCCTCCCAGAAAAGAACTTACTCGGAGTCCTGGAAAAGAACCAATTCGAAGTCCCTTGGTGAAAGAGCTAACTCGAAGTCCTATCGTGAGAGACCCAATTCAAAGTCCTACTGTGAAAGAGCCAATTCGTAGTCCCTTCATAAAAGATATGAATCGGATTCCCTCAAGAAAAGAGTCAACAAATAGCCACTCCAGACTGGATTCATCTTGTGCAGCAGACACTGAGAATGTGCGACCCTTTGCTGGGAAGGACCTAGTATCTCATGAGTCCAATTCAAATAGTCATCCTAGTGATGGTTGTTATCAGGGACAGCATATTTCACAAAATCCGTTTACAGGGAAAGATTCAGAGAATTCTGTTGGACAAAAACGACGAAACCTAGGAATAATTTCTGAGGATGGATACTGTACAGATACGATCCCCAGAATCCAGAAAAGTCCGAAAGTTCCCAGAAGTGAGAACTGCAATCCAGAGTTCATGCTGCATCAGTCAAATAAAGGTTACAATGACAGACAGAAGTGTGGGGGTGATACAACTTGGAAGTGCTGGACTGATGTGTGTACTATTTCCTGTTTTGTTTTAGTCCACTTGAATAGCCAGGTTCTCTGGTAGATATGCTAGGTATTTTGTTTTCATACATTTTCTTACTTCAGATTTCCTTCTTGCAGATTTTAGTAAAATTCTCAGGAGATACAGAACAACTGCTTTCTCCATTGGCAAGCAAACTAAATTTCAAAGCGGTATATTCCTTTTCTTTTATTATTACTTTCTCCCAAGAAAAATCTAATCTGGGTGATAGAATTAACCATCTTATGCTTAAGTTTGTTATCTGTATCATGTTGGTTGACATTGCTGTTTTATCATGATCAAGCAGATTGGTGTGCTGGAAGATATGCTGGTCCACCTATTGAAGGCTAAAAAATATGGGATGCTGTGTTCTGAAGTCCAGTCTCAGGTTTGCTGAATTAAATGATCAATCAGGGTCTGTTACGGACATGTTTACATAGTATAGTCGGACCACGTTGCATTCTTTAAATCTATAGAGCATCTACACTTTCAATTTTTATGCTAACACTGGTATTTAATGTGTACAGAAGTTCGACTGCCTCAATGTTGGGCATAAAAGGTGGTGTCTTTCACCATGCCTGTTATGATTATGTAGTTTAGATTCTTACGTGTCCAAGAATGTGGTATAGCTTAATAAGCATTGACATTAACCTTTGCAGAGTAGCTGAAGCAAGACTGCTGCTTTATAAAATAGTGTATGAAAAGGCAAAATTGCAGTTAATGCAAGTGAAGCGTGATAAATTACAGGTTTGTATTTAAAAAAAATATATTAATTAAGGTTGGCTCTCTTATGTTTTTCATCTCTGGATATGCCTACAGTTTGTCACCTGGACTTATACTTGCCTGCAGATTAGAGTACAGCTCTTAAGCTCTGCAATTCGGAAGTCTCAGATGCTGAAATTAAATTACATCCATTGTCAGTCTGAACCTAGTGAACGGGAGACTCATGTTGATGATAGTCATCGTCAATACTCTTTAGTTAATTCTGAGGGTGAACAAGAGGTAATCATCAATTCTAAGATTGGAGATCCATTTACCAATTGTCTTGTCCCTGCAATCGTAGCTTCAGTAATTGTTCTTGCCAAGTTATCTGTCTGGTCTTGCCAAATTATTTGTTTTGGTTTTCCTCTAATTTTTAACAAAAGGATTTTAAACACTTGAGAAAACTGTTAAAAAGATTGTAAACTAGAGAAATCTATTGTAACTACAAAGCAAGGTGAATGATTCTTTGAAAAAATAAATAAATAAATAACATTACATGAGATTGTGTATTTGCGATAGAAATGCGATTTTATTGACTAGGCAGACCCTATTCTATTGGGAATATATTAATCAGTGTTGAGTACTATTCTTTAAACTTTTCCTGCGAACCAAATTCCAAGAAAGAAAGATGCAGTAAATAAAATTATTAGTAGAATTTGAAAACAGGTGACAGGTTTCTGTTATAAATGCTCCATAAGATTATATAAGATGAATACAGCATAAGAAAACAGTTCTTCCTTTGCCTTTCTCAAACAACCAGTTCAGCTTATAGATATTACAAAAAATAATTATGTGAAGATAACCCAGTTTCAGGTCATGATTTTTGTTTATATATTCCTTTTTATTGTCAGGCTTCCTGTGATAATGTAAGCACAATGAGGCAGGAGCTTAAAGCTTTGGACAGAGATGTAAAAAGCTTAAGCAATTTCTTTCACAGCCACTGCAAGTTGAAAGGAGAACCGGGTTGCGCTGATACTATATCTTTAGTTCAACATCATCTCAAGACAAGAACATGTTGCAGGATTATTTGCCATGATTTGCAGGTTATTTTTATTCACAATATGACTTTTCTGACACGAAACAAATGTCTTATGTCACTAAGAGACCTGTGATTCAACAGCTATGGAAAGTTGATCATTTTGAAATTAAGAATGGCCATTACAAAATTCTTCTCAGTTACCATGGTTACGTCTTGCAAAGGTTTTTTCTTCTTCTCTTTGGCTGTTCTTTTGGATGAGTCACGTATTATCTTTCTTGTTACCAAATTCAAGTATGACGTGATTTCATGTTGATGAGACACAGGTTTACAGGTACTGGGGGCCCAGCATCAAACATAGTCATCTCACACAGTTTCAATTATATAAAAAGCACAAAGGTACTGAAGTCAATAAGTTGTGTATTTTGTTGTTTCTTTTCTAAATGGTTAAATTTTTTGGACATCAGGAATTCCCAAACATGGATGTTCAAGTTGCATTTGGTTTTGTGCTAAATGCTGAGGCCACCAAGAAAAGTTGTGATTTGAGATGTTTTCCTTTGGCACAAGAAACGCAAGTATGTTACCATTTAAGTGAATGGAATTTTTTACGTGCATTAGTTATAGGAATTGTGGTACTGGGTTTCAATTTGTATAGGTTGTGGACTATGTATGACTGTCAAAGTGGGTAATATGTTTCTAACTCCACATTCTAGACTGCTTTTTCACTTCGGTCCATATATAATGCAGGTAACCCGTTCACTGCTAAGAAATCTGCTAGACGTGGTTGAGGAAGTGCACCTGGCTCGATTTGAGATTGTAAATTTGATTCAAACAACTTTTCAAACTCCATCTGGTAATAAATATACTGAAAATGTGATAATCAATTTGTTTATCCGAACTTTCACTGAATCAGTTTGTTTATCTTTACTAAAATCTGGTTATATGTTGTTCTATAGCTGAGCAGCTTGATCTGAAGCTTTGTTTCCTCAATTTTAAGAGCGGTAGACAGGTGGCAGTGACTCTTGACATGACCTGTTTGAAAAGGTAGAGTCCTATCCAATTTCCTTGATTATCTTTTTGCTTATCTGATGTAGAATTTTATTCCAATATTGATTGGCTGGATACAATCCAGCGACTCCCCGTATAATGAGTATTTAAGCATTGTATGTCGCCGCTGCAAATTACTTTTGTCCTTTCAGGATTGTCTAGTTAACAATGTGAAACTACTTGCGAGATTATATGCAAATGTTTGTTGTTACTAGTCTGTCAGTATCCTCTGTTGAGATAATATGCAAATGTTCGGCGTTACTTAATCAGTCAGAATCCTCTATGCCTTCCATACCACAATGTGCTTTATACGTATATAGACCTTAGTGCTTTGAATAAGTAGTGACTTGTTTGTTGGTTTCTGGACAGTGGGATTTATCCCTCGGAGATTCTTCCGCATCAGATACAGGCTTCCTCCGAATCTGCAGTGGAAAAGGCGCTGCCCGAGTCACTATTAGCTGAAACAAGAGCTGCAGCTGAGATTCTTGAATCTGGATATACGAGAATAAAGAGGCTCTGCAAGTGTATCTCCAATGTGGTGTAACTTCACACGCACGCGTATTTCCAAGGGAGGTGAAGCATGTCGCCAAATAAGTTGTTGGAATTTACCTTAGGTTACCATAGTTGTGTGTGTGTATATATATATTTTTTTTTAAAAGAGCGTAGTCGTATATTTAGCTAAAGATAGTTCGATAACTCGGATTTTTCTCACCCAAATCCTAGAGGGCAGTTGGTTTTTTTAACCAAGTTCTATCGCTCGAGCCGTGCAAGGTCACTAACATATTGAACTTGTTGAGGTTGAGCACACATTCTCCTCTTTGTTGTAAGTTCAACAATTATATAACCAGCAATTCATTCATATTTTTACTTCTACAACAACAAAGCCTTATCTCATTAAGTAAGGTCGGTTGTATGAATCTTAGAACGACTTTTGATTTTGCACTAAGATTTTATTGGCTCCAAGTACTTTTTGCTATTGACCGAAAAAAAAGAAAGAAAACAAATCGTTAGTAGGGTAGAAGGGGGATTTTATTTATTTTTTAAGACCAAAAGAAAAGTGGAAAAGGGATATTTTGTTGGTGCAATGTCGACTAGACTTCTGGGAAAAATTGGAATCTCGCATATAAATTGACAGTTGGATGTGTCTTGGAGCTATCGTAGGCTAGACTTCCGGAAGCTATCGTAGGCCTGTAAGGGAGAAGATATTATTTGCCCAAAAGAAAAAGTGCAAGATATTTTCTTGATTTAATCTTTAGAAAAATCTGAGTTGAATGGTCAAATGGCACCCAACCTGTTTTCATATGGGCAGTTGCCTCAGTGGACAATTTCTCCTTAATCGTTACGAAGTATAATTTCTGGTTTGCAAAAATTGTATCTGGACTTAAGATTTTTATGGGACAAGTTGAGATTTTTCACTTAGAGCAAAATGGTAATATGCCAAGAGTTTGTCCAATCGATAACTCATAACTGTTTACGTGGCCTACTTTGAGTTTGAGAAATGTTAATAATAATCGTTTTTTAATGCTTATTGACGTTGATAATCACTCACGCGAGCAAAATGATAATAGGCAAGAGTTTGTCCAATGGATAACTCAATTGTTGGCGACGGTGTATTGTATGTTGAGTTTGAGAAACGCTAGTGATAGTTGTCTTTTAACGCACATTAACGATTGACAATCACTCACATAAGTCAGCAAATGTTGACGTGTCTCATTTGGATTTGAAACCATCAAAAATTGATAATCACTCACGTGCAATGATTTTCCTTGCCTCGTGTTTGAAAATACAAATGGCAATCGCCCACTCTTGACATTACTGGATTTGTGAGTCCACAATCACATCTAATTGTCCCACCCACGAGTTTTCCTTACTACTATTCATGGGTGACTTTTATATATATATATATATATATATATATATATATATATATATATATCTTTAACTTCCACTCGAGCAAGCTCCTCTTTTTACTCGTTAAGGTAAAACGTCAAGATTTGTGAGCGAGATACTCACAGAATGATACAGATTTGACGACAAGACATTAAAAAAACAGTCCTTCAAAGCTCAAATTTGATCTTTACGTGAAAGATTAGCAGATATATAATTAATAATTGTAAATCTGGGAAACCCAAGAATATTCTGGTATGCAAAACATAGGTCAACTTCTTAATTTTCTTCCTTTTTGCTGGACTGCAATGATATGCTTGCTGGTAAACCCAATTATTTGGTATCTTTTCTCCCTTATCATAGGGCACGGGGAGTCACTGGCGACTAGTCCACCAGAAAGTCCACCAAGGTTTAGATATGAGAGGATATCATGGGGGCACGTGGCATGATCTGAAGGGGTCAAATTATGCAGAAGAAGGTTACTTTGGTAAATGCACATTAACATAGTATTAAAATTGAAAGATGGGGAAAAAAGGAAGCACTTTTTGTGAAAGTGGGGTCTGTAAGTTGAATCTCACATTTCTTTTTTTGTTCAGTTCGAGTGGCCTTTCAGTTGCCTTATCTCTTGTTACAATTAGTATATAAATTAGGCATGTAAATCTTGTATATATTCTCCACTAATCACAATACATAATACATAGTTTACCTTAATACATCTGATTAAGCTACTTAGCTTCCTACACCTCCCACTTTTTCTTGTTGCTTCCAACTCCTTTGGGGTTTGACTATTTGTATGATTTTGGTATGATAAACAACTACCCTAGCTTTTGTGATCTATTGGGGTTTAGGGTTAACTCTAACTTTGGGAAGCAACTTACTTGCAATTAGAGGTGACAAATTAACTTGTTGGATTGTTAATGGTTTCCCATTAAGATCTGTTTGATATCAGCATAATATAGAGGTGAAATTGGTAATAGTGATGAGGGTGTAAGGTGAAGTCAAATTTAATGGGTATTAGCCACCTCTAATTGCAACGCGTTATATTTCTTTTACTATTTGCTTCTCTCATTGCAGGATAAGTCACGTAGTCATTTGATGAGAGAATGAAGACAAATCATCGTACATTCGTTGCATGTAAATTCTCTTCGAATTAACCTTAGGGATATAATAGGTATAAATTGTCATTAACAAAAATGAAACAAATGAATATACATACACCTTATTGCATGTAAATTTCTTTTCTAATTAGCTAAGATGTTATTATAGGTAAAGAATCGTCTTTAAGAAAAAAGAACAAAAATGAAGAAATATACACCTCCTTACATGCGAGTCTTTTTCACGATCAATTCCGATGCCATAATAGGTATGGAATCTATCATTTTTAGAAGGGTAAGAAAAGGTACATTCATACACAACAACCTTATCCTTATGATGTATTATGGTTTTATCCAATTCAATCATGTACGGACATGTTCGATTCTAATTAGATTGTGTAACAAGCAATGCATGTAAAGAATAAGTGAGATGGATGCACCATAGTTATGGTAGGCCTTAGGGAGTAAAAAGTGCAAATGTAGGGTGTAGTAGGTCCCATGACATATGACTCATGAGAGGACCTATTATTTTTTAATGTCAAATTAATATATTGCACATTTGAGACTTTATTTTCACTTTTTGGAGAGTCTTGTTCATGTCAAGTTGCCTCATCTGCACTCATATGAAGGTTTCTAGAGCTTAAAGGATTGGATTTATGGGGATGTAGCATGCTAGGGGAGAGTACAAAAGAAAAGTTCCCTAAGATTGGATTGGATGGCCGTCTAAGGCATCACAATCAAATGAAAACTACAATCAAAACTTATGCGAACGATTAACGAGCATGTCATTTTTTCATTATTATTCGAGTCTCCTATTTCGTAAATTAGAGTGTTATTTTATCACAATCTTAAAAGGGAGACAATTTTAATTGTAGCCAGTTGTTTAGTACATTGTATTTGTTTACTTACATTTGAAATCAAATCTTCGTCCCTATCTAAGGTATTAAAAGTTCAAATTAGCTCTATATGAAATGATTCTATCTTAAGACTTGTTTGGAAATACTTTTAAAATGACTAAAAGAGTTTTGGAGAAAACGTTTTTTTTGCTCCAAAAGTCTTGCATGAAGCATTTTAAGTGTTTTTCAAATATTTACTTGCATTCTTGCTAAAGATTAGTACCAAAAATATTTTTCCCAAAAATACTTTCCGACGTTTTAAAAACACTTTTAAACCAGCCCTTCAATTATTATAGAACGTTACTTTGTAAGAAGAAGAAAAATAACAAAGAAAAAAATCAGACCAAGGGAAACAAATAAACAAAAAATCTAGGGACAGATGGTGAGATAAGAGACTAGGACATGTGACATGCCATTATCATGTGGAATTAGTTCATGGATAGGGTGGCAAAGCTGTTAAAAGTGTTTTCACATGGTTCTCATAATCTCTTCATCCCTTCCTTCTAATCATTTTCATCAAACAATTCAGGTTTTTAAAATTTGATTAAACGATGAAAAATAGAGACATATTTTAAAAGTTATAATAATTTTAACCGTTTAATCAAAGTTTAAAAATCTTAATTATTTGATGAGAAAGATTATTTGGAATTGATCTGAAGAGGATGAGAGAAGCACTTTTAATAGCTTTCCCACCCTAATTCCACACAAAAAAGGAAAATAAAATTGCCAAAGAAAATGAAAAACAGAGAATCACAGAGGGAGGAGATATTAAGAGAGAGAGTTAGCTTGGAAAATTAAATATGAATTTAAATGATGGAGGGACCTAGAAAAGGGAAAGGCCTAACTTTTTCCATTCACTATGAAAAGGACAGGGACCCACACCAAGTAATGCACTTTTTATCAACTTTGCTGAAGTCACCATCTTTGGAGCCCCTATGACACCCTTCACACCCACCCCTCCACCTCCTCCCCAACCCAATCTTTCTATCCTTCCCATCTCCACATAAGAAGAGCAAGAAAATTTGAGAAAACCCTCTTCTCCCAACAACAAAAAAAAAAAATTTCCCAGAAAACCCATAAAGTTCACACCTTTAGGGTTCCTTCAGAAGCTTGTAGATTTGTATTTCTTTTGTAATAAAAAGAAAAATCAAAAGCTGCCTGTACACCGATCTTATCCTCCTCTGTCTTGGTAAAGTTTCCTGAATGCTCTCTGTCTGTTGGCTTTTTGTTTCTGTTACTAATTTTCAGGCTTATTTGTAGTTCAAAGTTTTATTGGGTGTTTGTAGTAGATTTACTTTGATTTTTCCTCTGTTGGTGGGTCTGATAATTCTCATCTGAAAATTCAGATGGTGTGAAATAATATGTAGGGCCTAATTAAATTACCCTTTTATTCATTTTTTTTGTTTTGAGTATATATTTGAAGCCAAAATCTTTGCTGAAAAGCTTGTTTAATCTGTCAGTTCACCCAAAAGATTTTATTTTTTTTGTGTTTTTGGTGATGCAAGATTGTTAAATTTATTTACTTTTTTTACTTGCTGGTTATATTTTCCTGATATCTGCAAATTTGGTTTTTTTGTATGAATTTGATGTTGTGAAGCCCTTGTTTGAAACGATGTTTTGGATTTAGGATCCAATTTTTTCAGATTAGTACTTGGAGCATCTCCTAGACAAGTGAAAAATGATCTGAAAGTTTTTATGTATTTGATAATTGACATAGTAAGTTCCTTGTTTCGATTTCGTTCTCTACGAAAACTTGTTCATGTTCTTCCTGTAACATCTTTTGACAGCAATAATACTGAATTTCTGTTTATGATGTTGTTTGAAGGCTGTAGTCAGATATATTCAGCAGAATTGTTGTCTTTCTGAGAAGCTGGTTTCGGTTAGATTCGTATATAGTTTTGGATACAATTGGGAAACTTTGGACTGGAAGAGGAGAGAAAAAAAATTGAAACATGGGTTACATGTGTGATTTCTGCGGGAATCAAAGGTCCATGGTGTACTGCCGGTCTGATGATGCATGCTTGTGTTTATCGTGTGATAGAAATGTCCACTCTGCAAATGCCCTCTCTAGGCGTCACTCGAGAGCACTTATTTGCGATAGATGCAATTCGCAACCCGCATTTGTAAGATGCACAGAAGAGAGAATGTCTCTTTGTCAGAATTGTGATTTGATGGCTCACGAAACATCGACCTCAGCTTCCATGCATAAGAGGCAGACACTTAATTGTTACAATGGTTGCCCATCGTCTGCCGAACTGTCGTCCATCTGGTCATTCGTATCAGAATTACCTTCCAACGGAGAATCTGCCTGCGAGCAGGAAATGGGATTGATGAGCATCGCTGACAACAGCACCGCAACTGATTGGAACCAAAGTGAAAGTAACACCAGGCAAAATGCATCCGGTGCAGATGAAGTGAATGCTGCGCATTCCATGCATAAGTCTGGTGTTCTGGTTGGTTCCCCTTCGTTGCCTGAACGTAATCATGCTCGTCATGTTGTTGGCCAGCTGTCTGGATCTGTGAATGCTTCATTGCCCAAGGTAATTTTCTTTTCCAAAATTATGATCTTGATACAACATTGGGTACAATCTGTTCTCTAAATCCTTGTGTGTGATGTTGTTCTAAGTTTCATCAATGACGTTTGCAATTTCGTGTTATGATTATACAGCTCTACTCTCATGGGCCCAAAGGTTCTGGACTCCCTGAAGATGATGACCTTTATGATGGTTTCGATATGGATGAAATGGATTTGAATCTTGAAAATTATGACGAACTGTTTGGTGTATCTCTCAATCACTCTGAAGAGCTTTTCAAGAATGGTGGGATTGATAGCTTGTTTGGGGCAAGGAACATGTGCAGGAATTATCAAGATGCGGTTGCTGCTGAGGTAATTTTGTCTCCTTACTTTCGTGCTTTACGATGCTCGGACTTTCTTGATCTCTATTTGTTCATTGGCTGGGTCGTTGTGTTAGACTATACTGTGTAACTAAAAACTTGCTTTATTTTTATCTTACAAGTAGGCATTCTGAACTTTTGGGTTTTTCTTTCTTAATGTAGTTGGTAAGCATGTCCGGATTTGAGTTTATAAAGTGTACTTGTGGTTAACTATTAGTGTTTTTATTATCAGGGGTCTTCAGTTGGACTGGGAAATACACCGCAGCCAGCGTGCAGTAACGCGGCATCTGCTGATTCTGTAATGAGTAGGAAAACTGACCCAATTATTTGCTTTCCGGCAAAACAAGCACATTCAAACCTTTCATTTTCGGGCGTTACTGGAGAGAGTAGTGCTGGTGATTGTCAAGATTGTGGGGCTTCCTCAATGCTTCTCATGGGAGAGCCGCCATGGTGTCCTCCTTGCCCTGAGAGTTCCATGCAATCGGCTAACCGTAGTAATGCTGTTATGCGTTACAAGGAAAAGAAGAAGGCACGCAAGTAAGTGTACTCCAAAAAGTAAATATATTAGCAAGCACGCACACTGCTACTTGTTTATCATTCATTTATTCAGCCAGCAATTTTTTTCTAGTTTCTTCACCTCGTTGTATGACCACTTCTCGGAGCAGTCTTATGTTTTTTTCTTATTATTTGCCGTTTATAGAAGATTTAACTATATAGGGTGTCTTGATTTCTTTCTGTACTTTCTTCTGGTTGAAGTGGTTACACTTTCACGGAAGTCTTATTTGGTCATGAAATTTTGCGCTGTTCCTCTCAACTAAACATCCGTATTTTCTGTTGTCTTTTTGATAGGTTTGAGAAAAGGGTGAGGTATGCTTCTCGCAAAGCAAGGGCCGATGTAAGAAAGCGTGTGAAGGGCCGCTTCATTAAAGCTGGTGAAGCTTATGATTACGACCCCTTGAACCAGGCCAGAACCAGAAGCTATTGAGTACAATTTTTAACCAAGTTTTTATAACACAAAAGAAACAATTGCTGTTTGATTGTTATTACGTTACGGGAGATGAAACTGATGCATCTTTCTCTTGTGCAGTGAAAAGATGTATGATTGTATCACAGGGCCTTGGTTTCGTCCGGAGATAAGGATTGATGCAAACGGCCAGGTTCTGATGCTTCACTACTAAAGTGGAGGAGCAACTTTCTGATTCTACCTCACGATGCCAGATTGATTGATCATCACACTATCCAGCGCGTTTGTTTCCCTTTTATGTTTCTCTAGGAGAAGTTCATCAGTTCAATCGTTCTCCCGGGAGGATTCACATTGGTCTTCCAAACCATTACTATGCTTGATGTCCTCGATTGTCCTGTTATTATATTTTTTCGCCCTCCTGCTCCGATAAAAGTGGCTGCCACGGCATCTTGGTGGCTGAACATGTGGTTTCCGGACCATTAGATTAGCTGCGATTGCTTTTACCTTTTTTCTGTTCATTTGACATACACAGGATCTGTACGTATGCCGTTGATGGTTATGAGCTCTGACATAAGACCTTCGTGAGGTGAGACGTTAAACTCGAACTTGTAAATTCTTCGGTTTCATTTTTGTTGGCCTGGGTAGACAAGAACAGGATAGTTTACATATGCAGTTAGTTTGTAGTTATGCCGAAGGAGATGTTATTCGCTTTTGTTGTCATAAAATGTATAAGTATCTGAACTGGACTTCAGTTCACCTTGTAATTTTAGTGTATCGTATTCGTAACCGATAATGTATTGTCAATTTTGCGTTCTTTCTCTCGTATCAAAAACGTATTCGGTTTCACAAGCGATCTGAAGATCTGCGGAAACGTTTCCGTTTCAACGATAACGATTCAGCGATGGCAACCGTCATCTTCTGTAGCATGTCAATGCTTTGCTCTCAAATCAAGGAGCTCAACCCTCAAGACCAAATGTCATGGTAGAACCAGGAGGATCCTCGTTGTGAGGATCTTTAAATCGTGTTTGTTTATCGTATATCATGCGGTCAGTTTTTGTCTGGTAGAAAGGCTTCAAAAGTGTGAAATCGGAATTGCGGTCAAGCAAAACCGAAAAAACAAGGTAAAAGAAATTTTTGCACAGAATGAAGAGCAAGAAAAAAGAAACTGAAAGCAGAAGAGGTTGATCATGTACATATTTTCGCCAATCGCATCATAAAACACTCATTTATAACGACCAATAGAAATCGAAAACAAAATTCCACCTATGCAGTAGCAACAAGGATAACATAAGTTTACAAAAAGTGTGCAATCAGCACAGAGCTGTTTGTTCAGTTCCACAGCATCAATCATCATCGGAACTATCTCCAGCCACCCTTCCAATGTCATCTTCCGCAACGGTATCCTGTATGAAAATTGAAGAGCACATGTCGGAATCAATAATAGAAGCTAGAAGCGTATTGTGTCACGTGTTTAGGTGAGTGCGGGAGTGTCTTTGACAAGTGAAACACTTAACCAAGATGTGATTACAGATGCTTACCGGCATCTTATCCCAGTCTTTCAATTTGGGATTTGTGAGCATGTAATTATCTCTTAATGGTGCCCAGGCAGGCCCTTCACCATCCACTGCGCCCTTAGACGTATGAGCCTGCATGTTAAATCACTCTCAGTACACATTGGCCTTTGGCACTACCAACATGTTATGGAACCAAGTGGTAGGACGACAGTTACATATCAGGAAAGGACCTTCAACATCAGATATCGATCCTCCAAACAAATTTTAAAATATAAGAACAAAGAACGTCTACAACTATATGGTACATAATATATATGATTGTTCGAATCTTTGAATATAAGAAACAAGAATGTCTACAACCACTCCTTCCACCAGTGACGAACATCAAGATGGTAAAATGCTGTGGGAGAATGGAAAGGAACTGATAAAGGAAAAAGTAGCTAACCTTCAAAGATGTTTTGCCCAACTCGGAAAAGAATGCTTCTTTCCTCCGCTTTTTTATCACTGGAATTATTTAAACAACAATATAGGTAGATTAAACACAAATATTGAACAGAGGTTTCCACACTTTAAACAAACAATTGCTCTATGAGTCTCACCAACAAAAATAACCAAGCATAAAATAATTCCCCCCTCCCAAAAAAACCTGAGCCAGGATCATAAATATATATGGCATGACAATGCAATTATCATGGAAGGTGACTCGGTGAGTAAAGTCAGAGAGTGGAAAAAGATATTTCGGTTAGTTAGAGAATGTGTGAGGCTGCTTGGAGGACAATTGAAGAGGAAGAGACGGAGAGTCCCCTCAAAAGGCCTCACTGCAAACACTGAATTAATATATGCCTCCTAACTAAGCCAATATGAGATCCAAATCAATTCATATGGCTACTCAAAGAAGCATCACAAAATATCACAAAACAACTATTACTAACAGAGACCAGACTCTACAGCAAGTTTGTTCAACCCTATATATGATATGATCACAACATATTGCTTTTACTTCAGTGTAAAATTTTAAAATTAACTCAAGCAGAGTTAATATCTGAAACTTAACAACGTAAACTGTCAAGAACGAGTCTCAAATTGTAGCCGCAGTAATAAGAACACACCTTTGGCATCTTTAAACTTAGAAGGATTCAGTCCTTTCTGAGCATTTTGTGCCTTGTTGACCTGCATTAGACACAAAAAGGAGCTCATGATTCAATGTGGCACAACGGAAACAATCTTATCCAAAACTTTAAAAACAAGCAAACAATTAGATTCACATAAAGCAACTCACAGCATTGAACAACTTCACCACTGAACATCCAGCATTGCACACGGTAAATGTGAGCTAAGTCAGTATGAGAAACAAATTTGATAACACTCCCACAAGACAAATAACATTCGATCACATATATCTTAACCAAATGGAAAATTCGGTACCTCCTTTAGTAGCAACACCGATTAGAAACTTTTCGTGCGTGTCTAAATAGTTGGCCGGCATCACATGCCCCTTTTCTATCACCTATCAAATCAAAACGATCTACACAAATAAACATTAAACCTCTCAAGCAAAATGTTGGACGCATGCACATTACAATTAAAAACAAAATCGAAGTTGTGAACTACCGTGTGCTTTTCCTTCTTAGCCTCGCCCTTTGCCTTGCGCTCGGTCTGCTCCTCGGCAAGCTTTTCTGCAACAAGCTTCTTGTGCGCCGACATCACGGGTCCCTGCAAAGCAATCAAACATTTTCCTGTAACACACAAAAAACTCCCAAAAACTAAAGAATTAGACATAGCAGCTCAATTCTATATAACTCACCACTGCATCCTGAGAAACAGACTTCTTGATTATACTCTTGAATGCCAACCTAAACGCCTTGCAACCCTCCGAAAACTTCATGATTCCGGGCAGAAACTCGCCGTGCTCCTCGTCATCCGAAAAACCATCATCCCTATTGTGACCACCACCACCTTCCTCCGCCTCTTCCCCTGAAGACGACCCGCCACTGCCACTCGGCTCCTCCTCATTGTTTCCCAACGGTTGCGGTTGCGGTTTCGGTTTCGGTTTCGGTTTCACATGTTCCTGTTTGGACTCCTCCTCGTCCTCCGAATCGTACTCCCGGGCTCGTTTCAGAAACAGTTTCTTCATTTTCTTGTTAATCTTCTTCGGCTTCATGGCTCTGATTTCCTCCGACGAATGTAACATCTTCGCCCTCTTCTTTGCCCAGGAGCCCTTCTTCTTCCCTATTTTCCGCTTCCTCGGCTCTGCTGCTGCTTCTGGAAGATGGTTTTCTTCGGCCATGGAGTCCTGTGCTCCAGACCAAATCAAGGTTGAATCTTTGGCCGCCGCCGCTGCTGTTTCAGCCGACAACTGGCTGGGAACAAAGAATAATTAATACCAGTGAAGGAACTGTGACCCGGCGGCACTACTCGCGAAGAAGAGAAGATGGTTTGCCCTATTTTTGTCATTTTAATATTTCTCTAGACGATGTCGTTTTACTAAAGGTTTTTTTTTTTTTTTGTAGCACTTGATGCGGTATTTGAGAGGTGAAAAGTAATTATGTTTGTGCATTCTGGTGCAAATTTGATCTCCATTATTATTGTCATTCTGGTGCAAATTTGATCTCCATTATTATTGTCACGAACAATTTAGGTGGTTACTTGTTGAAAACTTAAATGCTTTCTGTTAATGCCTATTCACTTTTTAAAACAATTTCAATTGTTATAAATCGAAAGTTTTATCACAGTATGACCATTAATATGTGCATCGTATAAAATTTATACACGATGAAAAATATGAAGCCATACTCAAGTAGAGACATCAAATAGTCAATTAGTGTTCCATTCGTCTTAAATAAGGTTTTTTAATCTACGTTTGTGATGATCTTTGCTCTTAGTACTTAGGGTTTACTTTGTTCTATATCGAAGAGAGTAAATCTAAAATATTGAAGGAAAGGATTTTTTTGGTGTAAGGTTATCTTATACATGCAACGTTACAGAGACGGTATGTTCTTGGAGAGAAAAATCATGAATGCAAAAACCTTCTTTTCAATCTTTACCTATTCTTACTTTTGTCGATGTTTACAATTGAATCACAATAATAAAATCCTAAGGGGAACAATCACACCAAGAACGCAATAGGTGCTAGCTTTTTCTTTATTTTTTTTGGTCGACACAGATTTTGAGCACTGTTTTATGTAGTTGGCTACCGTCCAATTAATCTCTAGGTATTTGAAAATAAAGAAATAGTGCCTAGACCTCCTTAAGCGTCCGTCCATACCTGTCTAGGAGCTTGCATAGGTTGCAATTCTAACTTTGACAAAAAATAGATAACTTTCATTTTGCATTTTATTTTTTTAATAGATTATAAGAGACTTATTAAATACTTAGATGACCATATATTATATACTTGTTCCTCATATTTTTATTATATTTTAATAATTTATAATCTATATATCATTCTATTTTGTAATATGTGTATCATAGTGCAATTATGTTTTTTTTTTTTTTAGGGAATTGTTATTAACACTCAAAAAATCTCATTTGGCACTCCAAATTTTTTATAATTAGAAAGAAAAATACACTTGTGAGAAGTGTAGAATGAAATTTTTTTAGTGCTAATAACAATTCCTTTTTTTTTAAATATAAACAAGCACTTATTTATACAATATACAATAAATTTATTCAAATCCGCCTAGGCCACCGCCTAACCATCTAAGCACTAGATCATAATCTACCGTCCGACTAGCGCTTAACGTCTTTTAAAATTTTAGTTTTGAAAGCCTTTTGCAAGAGAGAAAATGAGAGACATGACAATGAGATGGGGGAAACGGGCTTGGGCGACCAACTTGGGCTTCATGATTGGCTTTTTGGTCTCGTTCTAGTGCTGGTGAACTACTACTACTACTACTACTTTTTTTTTTTTTTGGTCGAAACTTCTACTTCAATTGGCTAAATTTGCATACATTTGGCAACCGATTGGATAATTTATGAATTCATTTAAAAGACACCAAAGATGATTTAAATTTGGATGCAAAGGATGGAGCATACTGTTATAGTTAACATGACTAAATCTATAAGGCAGTGCTATCCTTAACATTTTTTTTTTATCTTTTACATACTCCTCTTAATTTTCAATCGTCGGATCGAATAATTAAAAGAATCAAAAAATAAAATTAACAAGTGTATAGAAAAGTGTATAGAAGATAAAAAATAAAAATTGTGTGAACAATACCACCCATCAATATGCAAATAACTCGAATTTTAAGCTCCAAAATGTGATGATATGATGAGATATATATACTTGTAACATCCCACATCGTCTAGGGGAGTGGATCTTGTAAGTTTTATATGTACATCTCCACCTCTTCCTAGCACGAAGCCTTTTGGAAGCTCACTGGCTTCAGGTTCCATTGAAACTTCGAAGTTAAGCGAGTTCGCGCGAGAGTAATTTTCAGAATGGGTGATCCACTGGGAAGTTCTCGTATGAGTTCCCATAAACAAAACTATGAGGGCGTGGTAGGGACCTAAAGCGAACAATATCGTGCTACGGTGGAATCGAGCCAAGGGTGTGGTGGGGGCCCGGACTGGAATGTGACAATTTGGTATCATAGCCAATCCCTAGCGGGAAGTGTGCCGACGAGGACGTCAGGCCCCTAAAATGGGTGGATTGTAACATCTCACATCGCCCAGGAGAGTGGATCATGTAAGCCTTATATGTACATGCCCACTTCTTCCTAGCATAAGGCTTTTTGGGAACTCACTGGCTTCAGGCATCGAAACTCCGAAGTTAAGCTAGTTTGTGCGAGAGCAATCCTAAGATGGGTGACCCACAGGGAAGTTCTCGTGTGAGTTCTCAGAAATAAAACCGTGAGAGCATGGTCGGGGCCCAAAACGGACAATATCGTGCTATGATGGAATCAAGCCTGGGATATGGTAGGGGCTGGATGGGATGTGACATACTTATAGTGGTTAGCTGTCTACTTCTTTTGTTTTTATCTTTCACTGGCACATGTTGATGTGTTTTTGAAAGAGAGAACAATCAAATCTATAAAAATTGACTGGCTAGAATGACTTTCTAGCAACTCTAGTCAAAATTTATTTATAAATGGGTACCTTTGGAGATGCTCTACTTTTAAACGAGAGATTTTTTAAAGTAATCAATTGTAAATAATTATATGTCTATTTTTTTTCTCATATATCTACTAATGAAATATAAAAATGTGGTTGTATTCTATCAGTGAGACCAACTTCAACCATTGGGTTAAAATCTAAAATATTTAGGTTTTTAACCCAGAAACAGTTTTTCTGCTCCAACCTTTTGGGTTAAATTTTTAACCTAAAATTATTAAAGAATGAATTTAAGATTAACTTTTTCTTAAAGTAACATTTTAGAAAAATATAAATTATGTAGACTATCCTAATTTAATTTTATGAACATTTTAACCTAAATATATTTAGATTTCGATAAATATTGAAAAATCATTAAATTGACACTATGAAACTCGTGGAATAGTACGAAAGAATATCAAACACATGATTTTTTTTTTTAAATTTATTTTAGCCGTTGAATTTAAATTTGGACCATTAGATTATTTTTTTATCATTAGCTTTCATCATATTAAATCTTAATCATCGAATTCAATGAATTTAAAAATATAAAACTAAAAAAAATACATATATATGTCGGGTCAGCCCACTAACTCAAGCAGAATTATGAGCTAATTTGTTCAAAAAATGAGTTTTTGGTTAAAACTCATATTTAGTCCAAAAATTAAAATAAATAAGGATAAATTTAAAATTTAAATTTTACTTTAAGAGGTAGAGTAAATATGTTCTTAAAAATCCAAACTTATTACATGAAGGGGAATGTCTAT